ATATATTTTCAAAAAAATTGTATGTGAGATAAAATAAAATAAAACAACAAAAATTAATTATTTTCGTTATTATTAAATGAATATATAATTTCTCTTACATTTTAATAACTACTATAATTTCCTTGAAAAAATTCCTCACCACCGATTCCAGACTCCGGCGAATGGATTCCCACAGTTGATGACGCCGTAGATAAAAATGGCACATCATTTATGAACAAAACTGAAACTTACAAAAAACCATATATAAAAGCCGATCTAATGAAACTTAAACAACGAATATTAACTTAATTAAGTTTATTTTCAAATTGATAAATCGTTTAATACAAATATAAATACTATAAATATAGAATTATATCAAGTTTTGATCTACGATATAAAAACTATTTACAGCAAAACAAAACACACCTACTTTTACACACTAAAAACTATATTATAGCCTAACTATTCCTATAAACCTTACTTTGCATATAAATAACATTTAACACATTCCTAATATTTTTCAAAAAAAATTGTATGTGAAATAAAATAAAATAAACAACAAATTTAAGTAAGTTATTTATTAAATGAATATGTAATTTCTCTTAAATTTTAATAACTACTATAATTTCATTGAAAACATTTCTCACCACCGACTCCAGACTTCGGCGAATGAATTCCCACAGTCGATGACTCCGTAGATAAAAATGCCATATCATTTATGAACAAAACCGAAACTTACAAAAAATCATATATAAAAACCTATCTAATGAAACTTAAACAACGAATATTAACTTAATTAAGGTTATTTTCATATTGATAAATCGTTTAATACAAATATAAATACTATAAATATAGAATTATATCAAGTTTTGACATACGATATAAAAACATGAAATTTTCCATTTTATTATTAATTGGTGTCATTAGAAGAATCCACTAAACCAACAATCGAACAAAATACACGCAAACATAATAATAATCCCGGCTCCGCGCTTGCGCGGGGAATATGCAACTAGTAGTAATAACAATTTAGAAATTTTATAAGACTCTCTAGTTTATTTAAAGGACTTCATTGTCTCTGAAACGTGAAGCACAAATGTGGCTGCTCTTTGCGTGCCTCGGTGAGAATACAAGATTCAATCGCTCTCTTTGGGGTTTGAGTTATTTTAGCTACATCTTTTATTGAACAGGTAGGTAAAACTTGTGATTCCTATTCAGGTGTATTAGAGGATATGATCTTAATGGGTTCCTCGTAAAGTTCAAATCTATTTCTGCTCAACTCATACATTTCGTGGTTTGAAAATGTTTCGTACTTGACTCAATTTTCCAGTCTTGCAAATTTGTCTCGAGTTGGTTGCTAGTTTTCCATCAAAGTTGACCTTGGAATGTAATTTATTCGATGACCCTAAATGGACACATGTGCACAGCTGATCATGACATTTTTCAGGCGCCAATCAAACTTAGATGGACTTTTTTTTCAAAAGGTCATTTCTGGAGCCCAAGCCGCTGCTTGACCAGCTTCCTACGAAGGCCGGCTCTGATGTTGCGTCTCCTTCTCAATCGTTGACCATTGCGATAGCTATTAGTGGGAGCAGCAAAAGCAAGAATATAGTTAAGTGGGCGCTCAATAAGTTCTCTTCTGACAAGAACGTCGTCTTCAAGCTGATTCATGTCCATTTAAAGATTACTTCCATACCTACACCTTGTAAGTTCAAAATATTGCTTCTCTATCTGAAACTGAATTAATAGCCTGATACCGGTTTATGCTTCCTTCCTAAGCTGGAAAGATAGTCTCTATCTCTGAGGCACCAGAAGATGTGGCGGCTACTTATAGACGACAAGTGATGGATGAGACGAAAGGAGCTCTTCTTAAACCTTACAAAAAGATGTGCGAGCGGAAAAAGGTTTGTCTTTCTTGGTCTTCTTTTATATCTTATATCTTACAGCTATTTAAAGACTCTTTTTTTAGTTAAAAAAAAAAAATCTGGTTCACATAGGTTGCTGTAGAAATTCAAGTTCTTGAATCAAATAGCGTTGCAGTGGCGATAACCAGAGAGGTTAGTAAGCATTTGATAAGCAGGCTTGTCATTGGACGCTCATCTCATGTTGGCTTATATGGGTACGGCTTGAAACATTATGTTTATTGGTTTGATTATATATGTGATTGAAGTTCTTGATGAGTTTATGTGTAGAGACAATATTGCACATATAGGAATCGTGACGTTACGGCGAAAATAGCAGCCTATGTATCAAACATTTGCACAATATATGTTGTCTCAAAAGGAGTCTACATTATTTCGAAAAAGTCATCGTCAGATGCGGAGATGAATGAAACTATAATAGATTCTGGTAGTGAGATAAGTACCGATACATCTAGTTGTTCTTCTGGTCCAAGACAAATCTCAGGTTTGGAGCTTTCATCAAATTTTTAACTAGAAAGTATTGTATGATTCATGAGTTTTAAGTTTTATTATGTACATTCTTTAGCTGCAATGTCAAATGCACTGAAATCCAAATCTCTTGCTATGTCCGGCAAGAGATTGCAACATCTCCCGACAATAGTAAGAGGAATTTCTGTTTGTATGGAAACTAGTTCTGTTGACTCATATGACACTACAAGTATGTTTTCGGATGCTGGAGAAGAAGTTAGCAAGAGAAGTAGCCCTGAAACATCGCGTACCATCTCTTGGAATCCTCCTCGGAGTTGTATGCCTAGCAACGAAAATGTTACTCAAGGTGAAGATTATGTCACAAACAACCAGGTAAGGTTTCATTAGACATTTCTTAAACCCTCTTGCGAAATGGAAAGCATTTAAAAAAAATGAGAGGTTCTTTACTTTGATTTCAGGACATGTTCCACGAAATTAGAAAGCTGAGAGATGAACTTAGACAGGCTCAAGGAATGTATGCACTGGCTCAAGTAGAAGCCTTGGATGCTTCTCTCAAGGTCCGCTTCTATAAATAATTGTGATGAACTTGTAGTATTTGATGAAGCTTCTTTAGCTACTGGTTTATGTTTAATATATTTGCCACCTTTATGTGTGTCAGCTGAATGAGCTTCATGAGCTTCATGAGTTTGAAGAGTTCTCGCTTAAGGAACATGTAACAAAGGGGTTAGAAGAAAAGGAAACACAAACGTCTGAGCAGATGAGAAGAGAAGCTAGAGAGGTAGCACGCAGAAGAGAAGCCGATATGAAAGCAACCAGTGAAGCCAAAGAAAAAGACAAGAGTGCCCGTGTGGCTCCTAAGCTGCAATACCAGGAGTTCAGTTGGGAAGAAATAATAACCGCAACTTCATCATTTTCTGAAGATTTGAAGATTGGAATGGGAGCTTACGGGGATGTTTACAAATGCAATCTGCATCATACAATCGCTGCTGTCAAAGTTTTGCATTCCGCAGAAAGTGCGCTGTCCAAGCAATTTGATCAAGAGGTAACCTACACAACCCAAAAGTATATCCTTTATTTTTATTTTTTGAACACAACCCAAAAGTATATCCTAATAGAAAGATTTCATGTTTCTTCAAAAATGATGATGGTTTTATTCTCTCTTAGCTTGAAATCTTGAGTAAGATCAGGCATCCACACTTGGTTCTCCTTCTAGGCGCGTGTCCAGAGCACGGTGCTCTAGTTTATGAGTACATGGAAAATGGTAGCTTGGAAGATAGACTATTCCAAGTCAACAATACTCTACCAATTCCGTGGTTCGTCCGGTTCAGAATCGCTTGGGAAGTAGCATCAGCTCTCGTTTTCCTCCACAAATCAAAGCCGACACCAATCATCCACCGTGACCTTAAACCAGCCAACATCTTGCTTGATCACAACTTTGTCAGCAAAGTAGGAGACGTGGGTCTCTCCACAATGATCCAAGTAAACCCTTTATCAACCAAGTTCACAATGTACAAACACACTAGCCCCGTGGGAACATTGTGCTATATCGATCCCGAGTATCAGCGAACCGGGATGTTATCTCCCAAATCAGACGTCTATGCTTTTGGAATGATCATTCTGCAGCTTCTTACCGCTCTACCGGCTATAGCACTGACGTATAAAGTAGAAACAGCCATGGAGAACAATGACGGGTTGATACAGATTCTTGATAAAAAAGCTGGTGATTGGCCAATGGAAGAAACCCGTAAGTTAGCGGCTTTAGCCCTCTATTGTACAGAGATCCGTGCTAAAGACAGGCCTGATCTTGAAACTCAGATTCTTCCAATGTTGGAGAGCTTGAACAAGGTTGCTGAAAACATGAGTTCCTCTGGGCCGAAGCAACCTCCTACTCATTTCCTCTGCCCATTACTTAAGGTAATAACTTGTTCATTACGTCTTCTTTTTCTTACGAGAGAAGTTAGGTTAGCTTAGAGTTAGAGATGAATGTTGTTATGTGTTGCAGGATGTGATGCATGAGCCATGTGTTGCGGCTGATGGTTATACCTATGACCGGCGAGCCATAGAAGAATGGATGGCGGACCACCGTACCTCGCCGGTGACTAATTTACCGTTACAAAACATTAATCTTTTGCCCAATCACACTCTTTACGCAGCCATTGTTGAGTGGAGACGTATTAATCACTAAGGCAAACAAAAGCGCGCGCTTCTTTATGAAACTGCGTAACGTTTAGCCCTCCGAGCTTAGAAAGTGCAGATTCGTTTTTTCAGTTATTGATCTAAATTTGATTTAAAAGTTAAACGTTATTTTTTTGTTTTGAATCTTAATAATTTCTTTTTATATTTTTCTCCAAAGAGTGATATTTAAAAAAAAAATTGATTTGAAGATGATATGTGTGATTTAATAATATAGATATTCTTATTGACAAACAATGTGTTCGCATTATTGGAAAATAGTAACAATATCAATTGTCAATCTTAAATTAAAAATAAGTTTCTCTTGTTATATATTTGTATCATAGTTCTAACCATCAAGCTATATTTTTATCCCTATTCGATTTAGAATTTATTACTATATTTTAATCTGTTCTTTCAAAGTGTGAATATTTTTTTTTTGACTATTTCGATAAAATTTGCATGAAGTTATAACTTTTATTAGAAGAAACTAATGAAAAAAGTTGTTATATTATAATGTTTGAGTTTCAAACAACATTGTAATATTCGACCTATATATGTGAACGAACTGGTAGACTGATACCTTTTATATAATTTGATTTGGATTTAATAAAATTCATTAAATAAAAATCTGGTAGAATCGAATAAAAATCCAAAAGTTCGATTGAATCCAGTAAAACCCCTAAACACTGTTGGATGTAGTCTTGCCTTTTTTCTGAATTACAACACATGTGGAAACTCATCAGATTGCATGGTTTCTTTGGTATATTTGGAAGAGGCGTAATAATATATGTTTCAACAATATTGACACAGATCCCATAGACATCATGTAATTATCTGAGACATAAGTGCAATTATGGAAATTATCTGAGACATAAGTGCAATTATGGAACAGGCATAAACAAAAGCATTACAACCACCTACACAAAGAACTTAATCTCAACTAGGATAAAGGAAAAACAGAGTCATCTGATGATGTTTTACGAATAAATCCTAGAAAAATGACAATTTTCAGGAGAAGGTTGGTATAATATATTGGAGGTGTACGAGGGGCTTATGTGGGAAAAGTATACTAGAGCTAGTCTTTCACTTTTACACTTAGAATATGAAGTGTTTATTTGGATAACGGAAAGCATGAAAAATTTAAGATAATTTCATGTGACTTGCGATATATTATTCTCAATTGGTGAAGATATGTTCAGAACCATAGGAATTGCTTGCGTTTACAAATTATTTGGACGATATATATGGATTGAAGAAGAGCTTAAGCTACTAGTGATTCTACATATTCTCTGAACGCAAGAATAAATTATCATACATTGTTCATATGGACGCAAATTTTTCAGTTTCGTTTGCGAGTATTAAGCAAATCTATTTAATTTGAACACCGAAAAAAATTCTTACAGATTTATAAATGATTTTAAAAGGTTAGTTTAGTATTTTCATCACAAATTTAGGAGATTTATGAAAATAATTATTTTTAAAGGTAAATTTTTAAAAATAATATTAAATTTATGGTGAAATTAGAATTCTTTAATTTAAAGATATATAACTAGAGAAAATACTAATTTTTTTTATTATGAAATAGAAACACACTTAGAATAAAGATGTTGCGATGCATGTTCTTACATAGTTTAAAAATGTATTAATAAATATCAAAATGATTGAATAAGTCTTGCATATGTTTTGCCTTGTGAGAGAAGTAAACATTTCCCAAGAAAATAAATTAAGCAGATGCAAAACACGTATTTTATATTTAAACAGTGTATTGACTTTATTAGATAACAGAAGGTTTGATTTACAATAATTAATTATTACTAGGTGACCGGTCCGCACCCTGTGCGGGTATATACAGATTCAAATTATGGACGTAATAATACAAAGTTTTAGAAGTAATAGATTTTATATCATAAGACCACCGTCTTTGAGGTAAAGCATCAGGCACAGAAAAATGCTGGTACACAATATTTTAAATGGAGGAGATGGAACAAAGTAACTTCAGTATCAATAGGTAGTTATTGTGTGTATTTATAATTGCAACATCACAAAAAAAAATTGTGTGTTGAAGGTTGAATTTTATTTTCCAAATCTGAAATTAATAGTTTGCAGTTTTATAAGTAACATATTTTCTATTATCACTAATTAGAAACTAATTAGAATTGTATTGTATATGTGTTGTAATTCTTTATTTTAGGTGAAAAATATTATTATGCATAAATTTTTCGTAAAATGTATGTAGACAGATTAAAAGAAATGTTACACATATCCCTCTCGCTCTCTCTCTTTCTCTCTCTCTCTCTCTCTCTCTCTCTCTCTCTCTCTCTCTCTCTCTCTCTCTCTCTCTCTCTCTTTATTATGATTTTGGGACAACGGAATTTAATTAGGTCATTAAAGATTAGTACATTTGATACATCAATTCACTTTTTGTTCCAGTGATCTAATAAAAGTTATAAGACAATACTATGAAAAAGAAGATGTAATAAAACTGAAGAACTTATACGACAATAATGAGAAAATGCTTTTATTATTAATTTATAACATTACAATAACGCGAATTCCACAAAAGTAAAACAAAAAATTCATAATAGAAATTCTAACAAAAGCCACAGCTTAACCAATAGAAGATTATACTATTGATAACACGTTCAAAACTTAAACAACGTCAATGAGCTTCCGTTCAAAAGCATGATCGATTCAATCTACTCCAAGTCTGAAAGAACAAGTAAAAGATTATATTTACCCAAACACAATTTCTAATGACGTTTTCTTTTGAAAAAAACATGAGTTTACTTGGTTTATCCGTATAACAATATTTGCAATAATTGACATACCATTTAAGACAAGTAATTGATGGCAAAATAAGGTAATCAACATATCAACTTGCGCAAGTTAATTGATAACAAAATAAGGCAAGTTATTAATAAACGGATTAACTAATTAAAACCCTTCTACCAACAACGTATATCTTTCCTAATACCATAATATGAGTATAAAATTAAAGAATAATAAATAGTTTTGATTTTGATATATTGTAAATCTATAGAAATATATAACACAATCCCATAGAAACCTGCAAAGAAAATGTGATAAAAAATTTAAATATAACCCATAAGTAATATAAAATAAGAAGAACAGTTATGAATTAAAAATATCCCATAGAAACCTGCAAAAAATTGTCAAATTTTGTTAGGAACTGTACAATAAACCAAATAATTTAATAGATTTCTAAATTTTATTGAGACGAAAATAATATTAAATTTGCATATCGCTACTGAAACAAACTGAAAAATGGTTTGTAGTTAACTACAACCGGTCTTTCGTCTGTGTTATTTATCTGTTAATAGAAAAAACAAACAAATGTAAGAATTTATAAATTTAAATTTTTTTACCGAATAAAAATAGACTAATAAGTTAGTATTGACATCCCTTAGGTGTATCCTTTATATATACTCTACCTTCCTTTTTTCTTATTCTATTAGGGAGATATTTTCATAACAAACAAATGATGTTTAGGAATATAATTGCATAATAAATAATGAAACAGTTCAAAGAAATATATTAAAGTTATATTGTCATTAAATGATTTACAATTAATATGTTATAAACTTGTGCAATTAAATCATATTCAAAATAAGGTAAGTTTTTAAAAACAAATTAACAAATTAGAAACATTAAGGTAAATTGCATTACAACAATGTAATAAATATGATTTGAAGTTGCACAAGTAATATGTGTTCAAAATAAGTTTATAAAGACGAATTAACAAATTAGAAACATTAAGGTAAATTGCATTAAAAAAATGCAATAAATATAATTTGAAGTTGCACAAGTAATATGTGTTCAAAATAAAATAGGTTATTAATAAACTAAAAAAATTAAGGTAAATTACATTTAAACTATAGATATTTAAATATTAAATGATATATAATAAGGAAAGAATAAATATAAAAAGTAGTTGATATAATTTTTTGATTAATAAATATTACTATATATATTTAATTTTAATTAAAAAGATCATATAATTGCAAACCAAACAAAATATATCAATTTTAATTAAAAAGATCATAAAACAAAATCACAATCAGCAAACCAAAGATATATATATATATATATATATATATATATATATATGTATATATAAGCTTATAATTCTAAACAATAATATAAATCTACTAATAAAAAAAAAAGTATTGGCAGCACAAAAAGATGCTATTGAAATGATATAGCTGAGAGATGTTATCAAATAGAGAAATATTTTTTACCAGATTGAGGAACAAAGATGTTATCAAAATGATATATCAAAGAGGTGTACAATCAAATCATATATAGCTTCAGTGGAGAAATCGTCATAAACCAAAAGAAAAATCAGCTCTCATGAAATATAAAAGCTTAATGTTCTAAAATAAGAAGAAAAAAAAATTTCAGAACATTATTAACACAAAAAGTTCAGAATACAAAGTTTAATGATTTCATTTCTTCTACTGTGAATGTCTTATTTATAGTAAACTTATGGACGTTTCTCAATGATTTAGCTTGCATGATAAGCTAAGAAGTAACATATTCTCTAATAAATTCTCAATAAATCTTATACTTATAAGGTAATATTATTTTTGGAATATCTTGTTGATAAAGATAAAGGAGAACATCTCGTAAATAGATTACACCAGAATTTTGGTTTAAGTTTTAAATGCATGTTTTTAGGAGAGAAAATATCTTACCAATTAATTTTGTTTTAAATGCATGATTTTAAGAGTGAAAATATCTTGTCAATTAATTTTGTTTCTCTGACATCTAAAATATTTAATGAGTATTTAATGAATTAAACAGAGAAAGGATCGCAAAAGGATGTTCTTTGAATCGATAAAACACAAAAGGTAAGTATTTAAATGAATTTCCTTTTTAGTAGTGTCGATAGTAAAAATAAATCAAAAAATAAATTCTAAAAAATCAACCAATTCTATCGCTAGAATTCTTGTGAGAAGGGCAAATGTACTTCTCTTTTAATATATAGAGGGATCCTTCAATTCTTAAATAGCTTTTATGTAGTATTTTTAAAATTTGTTATATATTTTAGAAAAAATATATTCTGTGTTTGCGATCTGCGATACTGTACCTAAATATTTAAATATGAATGTGGTAATTTATTAGTAAACATATATTATTTAGTAATACTTAAATTCTGAAATAGCCTTTATGTAGTATTTAGTGAATTTTTAACATATTTTAGTATAATATGTATGTTTGTTTTTCTAACGATAATTATATAAAGGATAAGAAATTATTACTAATTTTTAACATATTTTAGTATAAAATAAAATGTCTGTGTGTGTTTCTTACCAGGATAAGAAATCAAATAAAATTTAGATTTATGAAAATATATTATCGCAGGTTGAAAACCAAAATTATATTTTATACTAAATTTAAATATATATATATATATATGTGTGTACTAATGTTCTAAGGAGTTAGTATATTTAATTTATAATAATGATCTAAAGAGTTAAATATATATATATATATATATATATATATGTATCTTTGAGAGTGTTTTGAAGCCTAGATTAAGTGGTTCTAGGTTAACTCTTCCTTGCCGATTTTAAAATAAATCAAAAAGAAATTAGCAAAAAGAAACCAATAGAATTAAGAGAATTAATTCAAGAGTGTATTCTATGAGTGCCACGTAAGCAGAAATCACTAAAGTGACTTCTCTTTTAATGTATAGGGGGATTTTTGGAGGTCCGATAATTAATTCATGAAAACGTTGTTGGTTTAAACAAATTCAAACTATTTAACAATCAATTTCCATAAACACTGTTTTCACGCGTAATTTAGCGTTCGTGAAAGGATCATTCTATTACTATTCGGATTTATGATTAAAAGTTTTTTTGTAATTAAAAGTTTGGATCATGATCCTATCCAAATTGAATAAGAGTATGCATGTGAAAATCAGTTAACGCTTGATCTAGAATGGAAGACGGCACAAGGGAGATGAGCATCGTGGTCACGCTCGCTAGTTGCTTGATCTCATTTTTTTTTTTTTTTTGAGTTTCAACTCTCTTAACATTTGAATGTTTCATAGCTTTGAGATATTATTTATCATGAATTGTATTCATGCAAAAAAAAAAATTTCTATAAAGTTTCAAATCTTATTATGTAAACGTTTTTATTTATAACTGAAAGTTTTTTTTGTCAAAAAAAGAAATCTGTTAATTAAAAAAATATACAAATCTGTCAAAAAAAAAACATAATTTGGAGTCCCTGAATAGAATGTAATTTTGAACCATCCTTATAAGTCATTAGGGATTCTTTTTATTTACCAATTCATCACATACCACAATATATCCATTTTAATACAAAAAAAGACAAAAACTTAAATAACATGTATCATGTGGACCATAATTCTAATTATACGCCGACTATCAAATAAGAGACTTTCCTTGTCCGAAAAATATAAAAAGAAAACTTTGTTGTAAAACACATATGGTTAAGTAGGGTCTACATCTAGTCTTTGGTGCCGTTTTATTTGTTTTATATATTAGCTTTTCATACACATCACCGGCCACTCCCGTCGTCGTTGCCATTGTCCTTCCTCGGCATTAAAGATAGATATATATATATATATATATATATATATCGATTATTATTTACTCATTTCTCCTTTGCATCAAATCAAAGGTTTCTTCTTCCCTATGCTATTCAATTTTTCGATCCTTTACATTTCCTTTTCTTTGGCTTTGATTTTGTTCTTATGATTCCTTTCGCAAAGTTAGTTTACATTCCCTCTTCGATAAACCCTAAATTTGAGTCAGAGTTGTCTATTTCTCCAAATTTTTCATTTGATTCCTAAAAAATGATCCAATTTAATATTCATAAAATCATAAATTCGATGAAGATTTGCGTGATATTACTTATGGTTTCCTTGTTCTCCACCGCCTTCTCCGACGAAACATCCGACCTGTACCTGTTGCCGAAGCCATCGTCGATTCTCCAGTACCCGTCGGAACACAAGAAAGTGGACGGCGAGGAGGTCAATTTGTACTGCACGAGCTGGAGATTCACGGCGGAGACCAACAATCTCGCGCCATGGAGCACAATCCCGGCGGAGTGTGCGGATTACGTTAAGGAGTACGTGATGAGTAGAGGTTATGTCACCGATCTTGAGAGAGTCTCTGAAGAGGCTTCTATCTTCGCGAACAGCGTCGAGTTCTCTGGCGACGGCAAAGATATTTGGGTTTTCGACATCGACGAGACTCTCCTGTCGAATCTCCCGTATTACATTGACCATGGCTTTGGGTACACGTTTCCTCAATCTCCCTTCAGTTTCTCAATCTTGTTTTACGGAACAATTCGTTTTGAATTTGGGATTTTTGTGTAGGCTTGAGCTATTTGATCATTCAGAGTTCGATAAGTAGGTAGAGAGAGGAGTGGCACCAGCTATATCCCCAAGCTTGAAGCTTTACCAAAGAGTGTTTGATTTGGGATACAAGATTTTCTTGCTTACAGGAAGGAAAGAGATCCACAGGCTTGTCACTGTTGAAAACCTCATCAATGCTGGTTTCCAGAACTAGGACAAGCTTATTCTCAGGTATTCTTAGTCAGTCATATAGCTCTTTGGTTTTTAAGTAGGTCAATGCTTTGTTTTGCAAAGAGTTTTGATCTACGGAATTTTACAAGGAAAGTTATCATCATCATCAGTGTAGGACATCCTTTCGTATTGTTTATTACCCCCATTGCAAGCTTTTGTGTATAAAATCTTAGGTAATTCTTTTTTCTGGTCTTGCAGATCTCCAGATGTACAGCACAAAATGGCGACGCTGTACAAATCTGAGAAGAGGAATGCGATGGTGAAAGACGGATATAGGATTAGAGGCAATTCAGGTGATCAGTGGAGTGATTTGTTGGGTTCCTCCATGTCTGAACGATCTTTCAAACTCCCAAATCCAATGTATTATATCCCTTGAAGAGTGAAGACAAAAGAGCTTTATCTGACAACTGCCTTTTTACATTTTCTAAATCTCTTACCAAAAAAAAAAACATTGTCTAAACCGTATAGACTTACTCGAGAGAATGAAAATGTTGTTACAGTTTGATTGCCTCCTCTTGAAATCTGCCAGCTATTAAATGTGCTAATGACAGAATGCTCTGTTCCAGAACACTTGTTTCGATTATAATAATATGGTATAGAGTTGACAGTAATCTTACTAAACATCATAAACATTTTATTCAATTCATAGAAACTTATAAATTATATGTCATTTGGAAGATGTCCAAATTTAGCTCATATGTTTTCAATCAAATCATATTTTACTTGTTGGAGGACTTTTCTATCTCGAACTCTTGTTCGACGATCAATTGTATTGTCGAGATTAGTAGGCATATCGATGGAATATGTAAGATCAACACCCTCACCTTGTTGAAATTCTGAAACGTGGTACTGAGTGTATGAATCACGTTCATCTTCGACAATCATATTATGGAGTATGATACATGCTCTCATAAAATTTATGATTTTGTTTTTATCCCATAAATTTGATGGGTTTTTAACAACGGCAAATCTAGCTTGCAGGACTCCAAAGGCACGCTCAACATCTTTTCGTACATATTCTTGGATTTTAGCAAATAATGAATTTTTTGGACCATGTGGTAATCAGATAGATTGAATAAAAGTCTTCCATTTTGGATATATACCATCTGTGAGATAGTAAGCCAAATGGTACTCATTTTCGTTGACATAGAAGTTGACTTGCAGAGCTATTCTGTTAATAATGTCATCAAAAACAGGTGATCGATCAAGAATATTAAGATCTTTCATAGTAACTAGATCTCCAAAAAATGCATGCCATATCCAGTGGTCAGACGAAGCTACCACCTCTAACACAATTATTGGAGCATCGGTTCCTCGTGAATTCATTCCTTTCCAAAAGGTAGGAAAATTCTTCAACCCCCAATGCATACAGTCGATGCTTCCAACCATCCCGGGAAATCCACGTTGTTCTCGAATATAGAGTAGTCTCTCAAGATCCTTTGGTGTGGAACGTCTTAGGTAGTCATCCCCAAACAAATGGATTATTCCGGCGGTAAACTGGTGCAGACATTTTCTAGCTGTTGTTTCACCAAGTCGAACATATTCGTCAACTGTATCAGCTCCACCATCATAAGCCAATTGCCGTATTGCTGCCGTGCATTTTTGGAGCAGAGATAGACCAGGCCGTCCAATTGCATCTTGTGTTGGTCGAAAATACTCAATTTCTGTGGAGAGACGATGCACAATACTCATGAACAAATGTTTGTTCATTCGGAACCTTCGTGGAATAAATGTTGAGGGTATGTTGGAGTATCACTAAAGTAATCATTCCAGAGTTTAGTGTAGCCATCTTCTCGGTTTCTCTCGATAAAAATTTGTGGCTTGCGCTTTTTTGGTTCTGGAACTTAAACATAGTTTTCAAAAAATTCTTCAAATGGGGTTTCTAAACTAACATCATCTTCATTGTGGTAATGATAATTTGAGGAAGATGCCATTTAAAATGAAAAAAAAATTGAGAAACTATGTAGAAAGTGAGAAGAAGAGAGATAATTTTTATATACAAGTCTGAGAGAAGATGTATCATATTTATATATGAAACTATCGACAATTGTGGCTTGTGATATTTTGTGGTGCTAGTTTGGAGTTAAGATCCCCATGATGCTGTCACAGCTATACATCCCGTGACCATGGCTTATTGTTTTGGGGAAGAATCAAACCAATACAAAAATAAGTACAACATCCTGTGACCATAGATTGTTGGCATGGTTGCTATACGAGTCACATATATCACAGTAACAACACAAATATCACATAAAAAACATTCATGAAACAGAGATTACACCTAGTGTTAAATAAACATGAGCACAACACCAACACAAACAAATACAATAACCACAACCCCAACAACCAATTCAAGCCATTTGTAAACCGAGATTTCTTGTTAACTAACTCACATACTTGCTTCTCAAGGTTAACCAGTTTCTGCTCATTGTCAATGTCACTCAAATAGGTTAGGGTATCTACCTTTTCAGCCAAGTGAAGGATGTGTCTATCCCTGGCTCTCATCTCCTCCATCACCGCCACATCCCACTATTTCCAGACATGTCGCTCTCCATCATCAAAATTGGCACATGTGTAGTATCTTCTACCTGGATTGTTTCTGGTGTAGAATGTTGCTAGAAGAGGTCGACCACCACAGTAGCAGGTCTGCGGGAATCAAAACTCAACCTCTGGTTGAGGTGGGTACTGAACCGGCTCCGTATCATTGTAGCTTATCTCAGCTTGGTCCCGAAAAATAAGGTCTTATGTTTTGCTGTATCCAGTGTTTTCTGTGTACCCACCGTACTCCTCTGACTCCGATGGCTGACTGTAGCTGTAGTCAAGTCCCATTTGTTACTTAACCTGCAAAATATTTACGAAAACAAAAGATAAGTGAGTCGTTACTTTAAACTGAATTACTGATAATATTTACAAGGACAAAAACAAAACATACATCAACGTTCTCATAGTGATCATCAGAAGTACTTAAACAGAATTAACATTCTTCCAAACATTAATTTAAACAGATATACTTAAACCCGGAATAACATTCATTAAATTATAAAGTCGCATTACATGAAACAACCGATAAGTACTTAAACAGAGAAAGCAGGAACATAAAATTGTAATCATCGTGATCATCAGAAACTAGAACACCAGAAACTACAACATCAGAAACTAGAACATCAGAAACTAGAACATCAGAAACACTGAGCAAGGAGTTTATTATTCACAACTTCTTCGGCCTCACTTAGTGGTTTTTTTTAGCGAGGAGAATGTCTAGTATTTCCAGCTTTGACAGTCTCTCCTTCATCTCCAAATCCTCCTGGATTTCCCAAATGCTCTTATACTCATCAACAGCCTTCCCTTTAGCATTAACCCTTCTTGCTTTTGCAGCCTTAGCACCTTCAGGCCGGATCTCTTCATCACCAACATTGGAGACTGAAGCTTGGGAACCTGTCTCACCCGTTTTCCTCTTTGAACTTCCACTAGCTTTAGGAGTGTTAAGGTTAAGCCATTTCTGCTCATACCTCAACACACACCACGCATGTTCAAGAGTAAATTTCAACTTCTGATCAGCGTAGAAGATTTTGTGAGCCACCTTCAGGACATCATTCTCACTCTTACCACTGCTTATTTGTCTCTCTGCAGCAGCAAATGCGCCACAGAACTTGTTGGTGAGGTCATATATTTTGTGCCACCTCTGCTTGCAGGAGAGTTGCTCTACCTTCTCACCACCAGCCCTAGAGTGAGGGCTTCCTGCGTAATACTCCGTTACTCGTTTCCAGAAGGTCCGTGCGTTTTGATCATTTCCAACAACAACATCCTTTGATGTGTTAAGCCACACACTGATTAGAACCTCGTCATCAGCTGGCGTCCATTTCTTTCTCTCCCTACGCACCACTGGTGTGACTACATGTTCACTTGGAGCGTGAGGTTGCTCTGAGCTGAAATGAGGGTTTTCTGATGCTCCAAGGTTAACACTAGAATGAAAACTTTCATAAAGAAATTTTCATGGATAACACTTTGTTTTTGACTGTTTAGAAGCCCTACATAGCTACTGGACTGACTATATGGATTCCTTGAATCCATATCAATAAAACAGAGAAGGGATTATAGAAGAGAAATAAACTTGCTTATGGGTTTTAGCAAAGTGTTAGGTGTAATAAAACAGAGAAAATATTATAGAAGAGAAATAAACTTGCTTACGTTCAAGTTCAAGGATGGTGGGGTTTAATAGGTGAAAGTGTTAAGTGTAATAAGTTCCAGTCTTAATGATTAACCATAAACTCCCAAAGTCATTTCATAACTTATTACAAGGTACATAATTAACAAGTTCATTTAATTTAAAACCTAAAGATATTGAACACAACCAGTAAGGTACTCGCAAGTCATTTCAGAACTTATTACATAGGGACTTGGTTTCAAACGAACTACACTTCAAGCAAACATATCTAACTAAGGCAGTAAGGTACTCTCAAGTAAACACAACCGGCTAAATCTGTTGACTATCACTTTTTTACTGACCAAATTTTCACATTCTCAGATCAAATTTTTACAAAATTCAAGTCTGTGAGTACAACTAAGCTATTGACTATTGGTTTGTTAACTAGTAAGCCATAGAGCGTATACGAGCGTATGACTACGACCAAAATTTCAAATTAGATCAATTTTTTTTTCAAAATTCAAGTCTATGGGATTGATTGGTAGAGCATTAGCATAAGCATTATGCTCTCTATTATCCAATCAACATTTGGAAAAGAAGCATTTGGAAAAGCATTTACCAAATGCTAATGCTCTCCAAATGCTATTTGCTCAATGCTCTCCAATAGAGCTTTTGGTACAGTATTTGCATTTACAATATATAAAAATTTTAAAAATAATTATACATAATTAATTTATTGTAGTTTAATAATACAAAAAATATTTTTATAATCAAAAATAAATTTATATTTTAAAAATTGAAATAAAATTAAAATAAAATTAAATATTTTTAAATTATTTAAAAGAACAATATTTCACTTTTGAAATATAATATAATTTATATAATTACACATATCATTCATTATTTTTAATAACAAGCATAACATAATATATATTTATATATTATAAATATAAACATATATATGTATATTAATTATACATTAATAAATAAATTATATAACATATATTAATTTTTATGATAATTTTATATATGAATCATTTACTGCTCTATCAATAAATAATAATAATTTATACATAATTTATTTATTTATTTTTTTAATAAAATGAAATATTTTTATCTCCAAAAATAATTTAATATTTTTTGAAAAATTACATTTTTAGATAATTATATTTCACATATAAACTATAATATAATTTCTATAATGAATAAGATTCATTATTTTTAATAACAAA